AAACGTACTCCGATGAACCAGCATATAAAAATGAAGCACTCTAATGCACCTTTTATGATTTGAATGAAACCTGGCAAACCAAACACCTTATCTTAGTTTTAACGTAGAGAGGGCGGTGTACAACAATACTCCAACAGAAAGAAGAAGCTTCTCACGCTGGAAAACCCGAGTAAGAATACAGTGCTGGTCATAGCTATAAAGCCACCCAAATTTTCGTTGTTTCAAAGCTATTTGACAGCCATTCTCGTTCAAATTTGATACAGTCATAACTTTCATCGTAGAAAACATTATACCAAGATAGCTTTGTTCAATACAATGATTACTCCATAAAAAATGAAACAATCTGAAAATACACTTCTGAAAGCTGGTCATAGCTTTAACGCCACCTAAAAATTCCAGAGAGAATATGAACAACGATGTTTCTCATTAGTCAATAGAGTTGCCCTTCTGCCTAATCGCCTCTACAAGAGCTTTGGAATGCTGCTCGTTAGGTTAATAATCACTTGAGCAGGTATTCTCATCCACGCGGCCAGAATCGCACTTTTCAGTTCATTACACTTTCAAATTGCCTAACACCGCTGTGTATGTTGCGGACAATAATGCTCCATAAGTTTTCAATGGGGTTTAGGTCTGGGGAACAGGCTGGCCAATCAAGAACCTCTATATTATTGTCACGCAAGTACTGTGGAGTTGCCCTACACCTATGAACCGAGGCATTGTCCTGCATAAAAACGTATCCTTCCTGCCAGTACGGTACAAGGTGACTACCTAACACCTCTACATACTCCAAACTGTTCATTTTATTGGAAACGAATGCAAGTGGGAGGGTTCCTGACGATTCGAAAGAGCCCCATACCGTTACAGTACCTCCGCCGAAATTACGCTTGCTGAAATGTCGAGGCTCCTTGCGTAGATCATGACAATATTGAGAAAGGCCATCGGGCCCGTCAAGGTTGAACTTCTTTTCATCCGATTAAACGATCTGAATCAAAAAATTCCAAAAGATGGGGTTGCATTAATGACGAGTACAGTACCCTGTTCCAATCAAGCGGATGCATAAGCTTGTCTTCAGCAAATGCGAGGC